TCGTGACGTACTAGATAATTGGTTATTTTACACATGGCAGGAAGCTACGTGGGCCTGATTAAGCCTAAAATTTAAAGCTAAAAGTCCAAAAATCAAAATGTATAGGTCGAGACTTGCCCTCTGTGTGATCTTGGGCTGCGGGCCTACAATGGTGGGCCTTTTCAGCTTTTTTTTTTTACCTTGTTTTTTTCTTTGTCTTTTTTTTTTTGGAAATCAATCAATCTCACTTTTGCACTATGATTTGAGCCCATGCTAATGGGATGGGCTTTTCCTACACCCTGCTAACAATGGACCTTTGTGTTATTGTGTCCAATCTTAGGGCCCATTCTAGCTTTAGCTACACACATAATTGAATTGTATGTTTTTTCTGGGCTGAATACTATGGACTTGGGCCCCTTTACTAAACAATGGTGAAGTACTATTTTTACCATATTCTATAATGTAAATCTCATATTTGAGTTTTTTTTTTTTTTTGATCGGCAAATGTTAGTTGTTAGTTATTAGATTAACATTTATAGGAGAAAATTTCATACTTGAGTTGACATGAATACATTTGTCGCATAGTTTTTATATCCAAAATAGCTCACAAGAACTACATAATTCTATATGTATTTTATCTTCTCTATCAGTTATAAAAAGTTGTCAATGGTAAATATAATAGTAGGCCACATAGTGATTCGTATTGGTTGCCCACTACGCAAATTATTCCTCTCTTCTATCCCCTCTACTTTCTCTATTCGCTGTGTAATTGTTTTACATTGTGTTTGGTTAGAGAATTTGGAAAGAAATTTGAAAAGAGAAAGAAAAAAGTTAGACGGAATATAAAAAAAATATATTGACATTTCACCTACTTTCACATATTTTTTCTATTTACCTTTCCAAATCTCTTCTTAAATTCTCCAACCAAATATAGTATTACTGTATGTTCTTTTCACCGTACATTTTTCTTCTCTAATCACTGTTGAAATAAAAGTATCAAAGCAAAGGCGTTGTTAGGTATACTTTTTTTTGACTGGTAATGTTTCTATTCCATGACCTTTTTTATTTGCTTGAAATTGCTTCTACCACTTTGAGCATTGTTGCTCTTCCATCCGTTGAATGTATTTATATCTGTTTCATATGTATATGCATCTACCAACCATTTGTAATATATGCAATGGCTCTTCTAAATATTTAATTTTTTTTTATTATTTTTTTTTAATTTGAGTTTTGGATTGATGTTACACATCATTCACATGCAGCATATGGATGAACAAGAAATTTAAAGTTGAAGAAAGTGAAACAAAACAGCCAAAAAAAAAATAGAAACAAGTCTTCCTAAGGGTGTGCTTGACAAGTAGATAAAAAGAACAGAAAGATGTGAAAACCACATTAATACAAATTAAATTATGATACCTTATTCATTACAATTAAAAGGTAATGAATTAAATAAAATTCTAATTAAAAAATGCAATTTATCGCAAAAGATTCTATTTGTATATCATGTTTTATAATTCACACCATTTTTTTTTTTGTTGAAATTTCAACTATCGAATAAAAAACAAATATTCAAATATTAATTTTCAAATAAAAATTAATTATTTGAATTTCAACTATAATTTGGGTAAATTGCAAACACATCTCCTGAAATTTACTTAAATTATAAATTGACCTCTATGGTTTTAAAAATTACGTTATGCCCCCTAAGGTAACAAATAAGTCTTTTTATTAATAAATCAAGTTAATTAACAATTTTTAATAATGGTAAAATTTTATTTCAATTAATAATTCATATAATTTTATTGTTGTATAGATAAACAGTTAGAAATTTCACTTTTTTAATTAATTCTGTTAAATAAAAAATTTTGTTAGGGAGGTATTTGTAATTTTTCAAATCACAGGGGGCAATTCGTATTTTAAGCAAATCTCAAGGGGTGTATTTATAATTTACCCAATTACAAATATACCCTTAGGGTGTGTTTGATTGGGGGGATTGGGGGGGACTATTCACTATTCGGATTGCTTATCCGAAGGAGTGAGTAGTCCATTGTTTGTTTGTTTTTTTAGTCCGCCGGATATGGAGTCCGGTCGGACTCCTTATCCCCCATATGGGAGATTATACTATCCCGGGGGGGTTGTGGGACAGTTTTGGGGGTACTATTTACTGTTGGGATTATGTGGTAAAATGACCATTTTGACTCTCAACTATTTAATTATGTATTATATTTAATAAAATTCAATAAAATTTAAATGTCTCAATTTAAAAATAAAATAATTTTATTTAACTTTTTATTGATGTTTTATTTATTTAATTTTTTAAAATAATTTTCTATAGATATTTTATTGATGTTTTATTTTAAAATTTTGTTTATATTTTATTTAATTTCATTATTTAAATGTTAATAGATGTTTTATTTAATTTCATTGTTTAATTATTATTATTTTTAAAAACAAATTTATTTAAAATTTTAATTAAAAAAAATAATATATATTTTTATTGATATTTTATTTTTATTTTTTTTAAAAAAATAAATTTATTTAATTGTGTAAAAAATAAAATAAAATAAATTTTTATTTAATCTAGCTAAAAATAATTAAAATATTAAAAATACCCCAAGTAAAGAAGGAAGAGAGACAAAAACAAAGCCCAAACTCTCTAACTCACAAAGAATTTAAACATACTAATGGTTAAATGTTTAAATTTTTATTTAAACAATTAACATTGAAATTATTTTGATGTACAGATTATGTTTAAACAATTAACAAATGTTGATGTAATTAACAATTAACAAATGTAGATGTAATCAAATGTTGACGTATTAAAACATAATTTAATAGATGTTAAATAAATATACATGTTGATGTACAGATGTTGAAATAATTTAATAAACATGTTGATGTACAAATGTTTAAATGTTTAAATAAAACATAATTTAAATAAATGAAATTATTTATTGTTGAAATTAAACATTTAATTGTTTAAATAAAACATCTATTAAAACATCTATTAAATTTAAATAATGAAATTAAATAAATTATAAACAAAATTTTAAAATAAAACATCAATAAAATATCTATAAAAATTATTTTAAAATATTAAATAAATAAAACATCAATAAAATATCTATAAAAATTATTTTAAAATATTAAATAAATAAAACATCAATAAAATATCTATAAAAATTATTTTAAAATATTAAATAAATAAAACATCAATAAAATATCTATAAAAATTATTTTAAAATATTAAATAAATAAAACATCAATAAAATATCTATAAAAATTATTTAAAAAGATTAAATAAATAAAACATCAATAAAAAGTTAAATAAAATAATTTTATTTTTAAATTGAGGCATCTAAATTTTATTGAATTTTACTAAATATAATACATGATTAAATTGTAGACGGTTAAAATGGTCATTTCACCACCTAATCTCAACAGTAAATAATCTTATGAAAATTGTCCCACACCCCCCCCTCGGACAGTATAATCCCATATATGGGAGATAAGGAGTCCGGTCGGACTCTATGTCCGACAGATTTATAAAAAAATAAATGTCAATTTATCCACTTCCAATGAATTACAATCCAAATAGTAAATACTCCTCTCCTTCTCCCCAAATCAAATGCACCCTTAAAGTTTGGAAAATTCTATTTCCACACACCACATTGTCTTTATGCACATCTTTTCTTATTCTACTCACTTAATAATCTGATTTTTAGGTATTTATCTTAATCCACATACTCCATATTCCAAATATACCTATTTAATAAAAAATGTGTGCACACCCTTATCTTTTTCATCTTCTAAACTCTAACCCTAACCAGCAACCATCTCGCCAGTAATAATTTACTAAATTAAGTTACATGTTTCTTTCTACTTACCTTAAGCATGCCAATAGATCACTAGAGAAAAGTTATATCTACACTATTTTATCAAGAAACAAAGTGTTTTTCCTTCTTCTGAACTAACAAATGCCCATGTGATTTCTTCACATAGCCAACGGTCAATACCACATCCCATGCTCCCTTTTTATGCTTATCAATTACCAATCTTTCCATGTGATAATCCGAAACAGTGTTTGGCAGACGATATATAGAATTACAAAGACATATTACGTAAAGTATAAAACAGATCTCATAATATTTTCTTAGACTTCTAAAATGTTTCACAAATAATTGGTTCTACAACTCCATCCACGCTTATATTCTTTATTTTTAATTGTTGTCGATGGTTACAGTAGTAGGTAGTGATTAGGGTTTTAATTGAGGGTTAGGGTTTGATTGAAGGAGAAAGGAGTATTTTGGTAGTTTCATTTTAGGACAAAAATATAATAATTTTTTTTTTATTAGTGTGTTGATAGAGAATAAATTGTGTATGGAAATAGAATTTCCTTTAAAGTTTGCTTATAATATGGATTGTCCTTGTGATTTTAGAAATTACATATATCTCCTAGTCAATTTTTTTAATTTAACAGAATTAACAAGAAAAATAAAATTTTAACTAATCTCCTATACAACAGTAAAATTATCTAAATTGTTAATTAAAATATATTTTTGATATTATTAAAAAATATTAATGGATTTAATAATTTATTAAAAAAAATTATTTATTATATAATTAGAGTATAATTTATAAAATTAAAAGAGACAATTTATATTTAAAAAATGAGTGAGAGCCTCTTTGTTAGACACCTTAGGACTTCCAAAGGAATCCAAACCGCTTATGTTGTATGAAGCCACTCATCTATGTATAAAGTCTACACCATAAATAATGTGAATCATTTTAAATATTGTAATGTCTCGAAGAAGTCTCTATGTTATTTATATTTTAATCAACGTCTGCGTCTCAACAACCCTCAGGCCATTGTAACTAACCTAAACGTAGCAGATTCAAAAATTAAAATACTAAAGTATTAGATTATCCCTGATCTTCGCCGTTAATTTGAGGATACGAGTGCGACCACTGGATCACCATGGTCTTCGCCGTACCTGATTAACCTAAAGTGGGACCCGAAACGAAAGGTATGCAGTTTTTCCCTCGCTGAGGAAAAGAGAGAAAGCAGAGCATCCCCCTATATGTACATACAGATTATCAACCATATATCTCTACTCTCTCTCTCTCTCTCTCTGTTTTCAAATCTCTGCTTTTACACAGGTACGCATCGATTGATTACAGATTTAGATCTATGTCCATTCGTTCGATTCAGATCTAAATAATGAATCTTCTTCATTGGCTTTTTCTTTTTCCGGCATCGTAATGGAGGATTGATTGATTGGTGATTGTTTGTTTTAGATCTAGTTATGTGATCATAGATACTTCGGCTGATCTTCATTGCTTGTTTTTCATTTCTTCGTTTGAAATTAGTTAAATTACATATCTTTATTAGTTTAGGGATGATTAACATTTCATTCTCTGTCTAATCATATACACATGCATGTAAAGATTTTAGCTTGGCATTTTGAACTTTTGTGTGATGGCGTCTCTTGATTCTTTATTTGATTTTATTTTATTGATAATTATTGAGACTATAAATAATTGTAGATGAAACATATATATATATATATATATAATGAAAAAAAGAAAAAAATTCATAGTCTACGGATCGGTTCTGGATTGAACCCCCACGGCTCTGGATTAGAACCGATCCGGACCGTATACAAATAGCATATATTTATATTATACACCCTTCTGCATAGTATCTTCTCTTATTTTATATAAAACCTAAATCTAAACCTAAACCCGCTTAGTATCTTCTTTTATTACTTTTGTTGGTTGGTTTTCAGTTTTAATTTGTAATGATCTAAGTACTTATGGTGGAACCAATTTTCTTATGGTTGTTTAAATTCTAGAACAGTATATCACTATTGTGGAACGACATGTTATTGTTGTGGAACTAATTTATGTTTTTATGAAATTAAAATGTTCTATATTTTTTATTATTATTTAATTATGTGAATCTGTAGTCCTAAACCAATCCAATACGTGTTTAAATAAATTGGTTCAAATTGGTTCCACGATTTAGACAGATTGGATTGGTTCTAATTTTTCAAGAACCATAAATAATAGATTGGTCTTGATTTTATCCCAATCCGGACTAATCCGGACCATGCTCACCCATACTCCCTCTTAGACTGTGTTACATGGACTCGACACTTCGGGGCGAAGTATCCGACACGACACGACACGACACGACATGGGTGCAGGTGTGGGATCTGTGTCGGATTCGACTGTTCTCTCTCAGACACGGCTCTTTACAAATAACAAAAGAAATGAAAGAGAAGAGAGCAAGAGAAAACTTGGTTGAAACTCCATCCAGTCGATCCAATTGAAGCTCCATCCGATCAATCTAGTCGAAGATTGAAACTCCATCAGTCGATTGAACAGTCGAACACCCCAGACAACTCTCTCTCTCTCTCTCTCTCTCCTTCGCGATCGCGATCGATCGCTTCGCTTTTCTCCCTCTCTCTTTGTCGTTTTATTCTTGACTTAATTGATGTCTCTGTCCTTTGATTCAAATCTATATCTATTCGTATCTATCTCTATATAATAATAATAATAGTTAATAACTATTATTATTATATAACATATAATATATTTATAAGATAATATATACTTATATATATTAATAAAAATAATTAAACACATATATGTAAAATAAAAAAAAAAATTATTTAGAACACATTATTTAAAAAATCTAATAAAATAATTAATGTATATTAAAATAAAAATATTTATAAAAAAACTTCTAATGTGCATTAAAATATATATATATATATATATTACCGCTCCCTGAGACGCTCCCAACCTAAGAAACTTTTATCGGCTCACGATTCCCCGCTCTCGCTTCCATCCCCGCTCCCGCTTCGTGCAACTAAGGTCCTACCACATGGGAGGATTACTAATCAAATGAATAGTTGATTTCCTTACTCATATCACCAACCAAAAACTCTTTAAGTGAGTTCTACGGACTGTTAGTCCAATCCCCCTTTCCAAAGAGCCAAACAAACATGGCCAAGTGATCTTCAGATATGGTTTGGTGGTGCCCACAAGGTTGTGATTGGCGGAGGGGTAGGGTGCCATGATTTTGTATTGAGGCATAGAGAACCATTTGGAGACATGTCAATTAGCGATTAGCTGGTGGCAAAAACATGTGTTACCTTGGAATACCTAATAATTTTTCCGTCTTGGGGCTCGCATACCCTATGAGAGTAGTGCATAATCCCATTCCATAGAGATGAGTGTGATTGTAGTATAGTTGTTTATTTGGACTCTTTTTGATTCTAAAAAATGTGGGGAAAGGACAGATAACGTTTTCCTTATATTTACATCTTAAATTTGTTGACGGAAACAATAGAAGAGGCTAATGAAATTTCTCAATTTATTTATCTATTGGTAATATTATGGGAAGCATCATATTTTCAACTTTCCTACAATCACACCCATCTGCAATAAAAAATTCTCCCCTGCATTTTCCTCTTGTTTCCTTTTCCTCCATGTTAACCGTAGAAGAAAAGTGGTTTCATTTGCATCGTCTTCTTCTTTCCCCCTGCAAATTTTATTAGAAGTTTTTTCTTTTCTTTTTTATTTTAAAATCTGAATGGTGCAATATGTTTCATTGCGTAAGTTCCCTTTGAGTAGGTGTTTGTTTTCTGAGCATTCAAAACAATAAAATGTCTAGTCCTAGTCCTAGATGATCTAATGTTTCATGAAAAACAATTTTCAAAGAAATATAGACACTGTTAGGAAGATGTTGGACACTAACACTCATTGGGCAGTATTGATATTTGTCACACGCAAATCCAGATGTGCCTTATTATTATTTTTTAATTTTGTTTCAAATCGGACATGCTTTTGGGTGCTTGTCGGGGACACATTTGTCCGTCTCTTATGTGACATCGCAAAAAAATATATTGGGAGTCTATGATTAAAATCAAAACAGTGTGGGTGTAATAACTATTAGTCTCATAAGCTTTTTAACTTTGACAATTTTTTTATTTTATTTTTTTTGGATAGAAGTGGAACTTGGATAGAAACAAAATTAGGAGCCATGTTATATGGACTCTTCTATTTCCCCATAGAACCCGTGTTCACCGGATATGACATGGCTAAAGGTGTGGGATATGTGTCCGACACTCGTACCCAATTTAGACATATGGATCCTTTAATTTGTTACAATATATATGAAAAGAAGAAACTCACATTTGCTAACAAAGCAAGATTTTTAGCCTCACCCATTAATTAGATATAGAACATATTTCTGAATCCTATCCAATTTCAAATTTATTTCTATATAACTTACGACATTTCATCTGAGAAAATTATATAATATGCAATATGTATGTGTATATGACGTGTCTCCATACCTATATCCAATTTTAGATACGTATCTAAAGATCCAAAGATTTAAATTTATGAAGATCTGATACTTGAATACACACTCACACTACATACTCATATCGAGCCATGTAACATAGATTAGGAGTACAAAACTCTCGGTATACAACCCCTCTAGCAACTTCAAGAAATTTAAAACCTAAAATTGACTTTTTTTGTTAATAGATATAAGAATTTTTTGTTCACACTTCTTTTTCAATATATAGAATGTGAAAAATGATTTCTTACTATTTTGATATGATATATTTATAAAGTAAAAATGAAGTAATATTATTTTCTTGTATATATAAAAATATTATATTTATTTGTCATTGTGTTGTTGCTGTCTCGTGTCTTGATTTTCTTAGAAAATTGTCATGATGTGTCAAATGTTGTATCCCATGTCCATATTCGTGCTTCTTAGAGATTTATTTTCTATAATAATTTTTTGTGTTGACTAAAGCTTTGGGGATTTGGACTAATGGATCATTGTATCTAGGACTGGTTTCTTCAATAAGAGTCTTTTTCACCAGTAAGCTGATGAAATAATTTTCACTATGCTATTCTTTTTGCATTCTGTATGTATGTTATTTAAGCATGTCATGTGGGATCCATTCTTCATCAATATTTAGTGATTCCATGTTTAATTACAAAGAACTAACACCAGTTAATTATCTTCATCAGTCTAGATATGGATAGTTTCCTCTTCACCTCGGAATCTGTCAATGAAGGCCACCCTGACAAGCTCTGTGATCAAGTATCCGATGCCATCTTGGATGCTTGCCTTGAACAAGATCCGGAAAGCAAAGTTGCTTGTGAAACCTGCACAAAAACTAACATGGTGATGGTCTTTGGTGAGATCACAACTAAGGCTAAAGTAAATTATGAGAAGATAGTTCGCGATACTTGCAGAGGTATTGGTTTTACCTCTCCTGATGTTGGCCTCGATGCTGATCACTGCAAGGTCCTTGTCAACATTGAACAACAGAGCCCCGACATTGCACAGGGTGTTCATGGTCACCTAACCAAGAAGCCCGAGGAAATTGGAGCCGGTGACCAAGGCCACATGTTTGGCTATGCCACTGATGAAACACCTGAACTCATGCCTCTGACTCATGTCCTTGCAACCAAGCTCGGTGCCAAGCTCACAGAGGTGAGGAAGAACAAGACGTGCCCTTGGCTAAGGCCAGATGGTAAGACCCAAGTGACTGTTGAGTACCGGAATGATGGTGGAGCCATGGTCCCCATTAGAGTTCATACTGTTCTCATCTCAACCCAACATGATGAGACCGTCACAAATGACCAAATTGCGAAAGATTTGAAAGAGCACGTAATCAAACCCGTCATCCCTGCCCAGTATCTGGATGATAAGACCATCTTCCACCTCAACCCGTCAGGTCGATTTGTCATTGGTGGGCCACATGGAGATGCGGGACTCACCGGCCGGAAGATTATTATCGATACCTATGGTGGTTGGGGTGCTCACGGTGGAGGGGCTTTCTCTGGGAAAGATCCCACAAAGGTGGACCGCAGTGGTGCATATATTGTTAGGCAGGCAGCAAAAAGTGTGGTGGCTTCGGGACTTGCCCGCCGCTGCATTGTGCAAGTTTCGTACGCCATTGGTGTGCCAGAACCGCTGTCTGTGTTTGTTGATACGTACAAGACGGGGAAGATTCCGGAAAAGGATATACTGGCTCTGATCAAGGAAAATTTTGATTTCAGGCCAGGAATGATTGCAATCAATCTTGACCTAAAGAGAGGAGACAATTTCAGGTACCAGAAGACTGCTGCTTATGGACATTTCGGACGTGATGAATCGGATTTTACTTGGGAGACTGTCAAGATCCTTAAGCCCAAAGCTTGAGTTGGCAAATTATATTAGCAGCAAATATTTGTTTCCTCTGCAAATGGGCTTCCTGTTCCCATCATTTTGGTTGGGAAGAATAAATAAGTTTCATTCCATACGTTTACTATTAAATTTCACTCTTTCAAAGGCTTCACTGCAGTGCGGATTTCGTGTTCGTATTGTAGATTTAGGAGCCTAAAGTGTTTTATTGCAATTTTTTTTTTCTTTTTTTTCCTGTGTTTGCAAAATAGTTGTTTCCAGCAGCTCACTTGTTTGATTGCTGTGATTTTAAGTTCCCGTTAATATATAAACAGTTTTCAACGAGGAAGATGTGATAATGTTGATGAGTATTTCAATTAACTGAATTGCTTTTTATTTCTCATCGATTGCATCCAAATTGCTAAACTTTTAGACTAGTAGCCTGTTTGATAATGTTTCCGTTTTCTGTTTTTTGTTTTCACGCCACATGACTACTGAGCAAAATAGAAAGGAATTTGAGAATGAAACCCGAAAGAACTTTTAGGCTAGTACACATTGACAAAATGTAATTGTTTCACATAAATTCAACAGATTGAATTTTCATAGCAAATATATTCACAAAAGAAATCTGTTCTTAAAGGAAAAACTCGAGGTAGGTTTTCAAGAGTGTAACCACAGACGATCTTGTAGCCGCTCTTCTCCAGCACCGAACATCTCATCAACCCTTTCACCATCTCGGTAGAAATGAAAAGTAGGCGTATAACGAATATGTTGAGTTGTTTCCGGGCATTCATCAATATCAGCATATACAAAAGAAAGCTTTGGGAACTTGTTACTTAACTGGCAAAATGAGGGGAGGATCTGACTGCAAACACGGCACCTGCAACATTAAACCAACAATTACTTAAATTTGACGCATTAAATGACACGCTAAAATGTTCTTACAATCCCAGTTGCATTGTACTCATTTAAAATAAATAAATAAATAAAAACACACAAAGATGCGTCCACTGTAGAATGAGAATACAAGCTACAGCATTTCTTGAGAAGTCTGTCACATGTGACAAATACAAATACTTATATAGCTCTAACTTAGTTCTACATGTTTGATAATTATCGAACTGTTCTACAATAAATAGAGAGAGCCAATGTTTACAGTAAACTAGATCAAGTTGAAACATTTTATGAAACTTGTTTCAAAAGTGGAAATTTAACTTGGCAAATATTAGAAAGAGGCAGTTCACATACCAAGATGCACCATAGTTGATTACTGCCTGCAAACATATTTTCGAAAGCACGAATTAGTTCAAGTCATTATTATATATAAATAATGCACGTACATCATACACACAAATGCCTATTCAGTCAATTAAAAATCAGCAAACACAACAAAACCCAATTCATTATTCAATGTGGAGAACCATTGGAGGGTAACAAACAGTCAATTCAACAGAAACCCAGTCCACACACAACAAGAAAATTCAAAATCAGATACCTTTAAAGGAAAAAAAAAATGGAATCAGTCTAGGGAATCAAATGAAAAAATACCCACAAGCCAAAATGATTTGTAGACCGAACAAAATTGAAAGGTTGAGTTTCTTTCATTGATGTTCAAATGCTTACAGGGGTTTTGGAAGTTCTGATTTGGTGAAAGATGTCCTTGAGGTTTTCATCACTGGAAGCACTCCTGAGGTTGCCGTGGCGATTGACTGGCAAATTCAGACCTGTGCCATCTAACCCTTTCTTTCCCTTCTCTTCTTTCACTCCCAAAACAACCCCGCCTTCCATTTCTTCTTGGGTTGTCGTTAATTAATCATTCCAAACTCAGGTCCCAGCAAATCGTTTAACATAAATGTCCAGGAAGAGCTGGGAGATTGGGACTTGGGAGCGGTTTGAGGACTTAAATGCTGCAAACTCTGTAAAACAAAAAATAAAAAGGATTAATACTAGTGTAAAGTCCCACCACATGAAATTATACAATATAGGTTCCATCAGAAGTTCATTAACCCATGAAGTTCCACAAATAAAAATGTTTGTAAGCATAAGTCTTTTAAAATTGCCAGTTCATTTTCAAATATCATTGAATCTCAGACAACATGACCCAGAAATAGCAAAACAAAAATTAGGTAATCAAATGAGATTGAGATATTGAACCCAGAAATCAACGAGATGCACATAGAGATATATTCGAATTACCAAGTCAAAACAGATTGAAATCGACAAGGGGAGAAAACTTACGGGTTACAGATGGTGGGTACTGCTCGGTGATGGAGGCGCCAGACAGAGCTCAGAGAGAGAGAGAGCGCGAGGGGTGGGTTACAGGGGGTCAGCAGCACAAAACATGGATTTTATGATTTCATGGTCTAGTTGTTAAAAGGGTAAATTACAAATTTGTTTAAAATATAAATTAATTTTTATAATGTAAAAAATTATAAATATTTTTTTATTAAAATTTTTTATTTAATAAAATTAAAAAAAAATATAAAATTTTTAATTGTTCATCTATATAATAATAAAATTATTTGAATTATTAATTAAAATAAAATTTTAATATTATTAAAAACTATTAATTAACTTGATGATTTATTAATAAAAAAACTCATTTGTTATGAAATTAAAAACTTGAGAGGGTTGTAATTTTAAAATGGGAGATTTACCAATAAATCCTACTTGTTGATATTATAATCCAATTAGTCCCAAATGTTTTTTCATGTTCCATTTAGTCCTGTTTGTTGTGAAATGACCCAATTGCCATTAGTATGTGTGGATTTTTCATGTGATACATGGCTTGCGCGTGTGTCACAGATCAGGTAAAATGGCATGAGATTTGTCACGTGTCACACATTTGGCTGTTACGCACGCGAAAAGTTTACTAAGGGTTTTTGTAGAGAACGCTTGTGGGTTTTGGTTGCCACGTATTCCACATATTGAAAACCCATACCCATTAAAAACTCAACCCGATTTAAGCATCCACATCCCCACACACAGTGAAGTGGAAACGTAACATAGGAAACCCTCGTTTTTGCGATTTGCTTGGATTTCGAAATTGGGATTGACCATATATACCGTTCGCGTGATTTGGGGGGAAATTATAAAGATTGAGTGGGCAATTTCCGTTTGTTGCTGTGATTAGTTGGGCCACTGTATTTGTGACAAGGCAGATCGTGGACGACGACGAAACCCTAGTGTTCATATTTCGCAGTCCTTGGTTGTGGCCGTTTAGCTATGGCCGAAAAGGGTATGTGCCATATCTTTTTGCTGTAATTTTTGTGTGACAATGTGGATTGTGAGTGTTTGATTATTCGGTTTGATTACCCGATTGCAATTTTTTTTTTGTTTGCGTTCTTTATTTTGGGGTTGTCTGTGTCGTTGATTTGTTATGTGTGTTGTGATGCTTTTTTTTTGTGTGTTGGGATGGGTCGGTGTTGCTGATGATGTGGGGAAGGTTGTACTTGGTTGTGGGTGTAGGGTTTGTGTGGGGTTCGTGTGTGTGGCCTGTGTCGGTGTAAGTGCTGACAAGTAGTTGGCATGTGGGGAAGTAAAACTTCGTTGGGACCACACAAGTGGAAGACAATGGTGTGTGGTGGGGCTGGGATGGGCGGGGTTTTGATTTTTTTTTGGGGTGTGTGTTACTTTCTGACGTGGTTTAGGGTTTTTTGTTTTAGGGTGTGTGTGTGTGAACGTGATGTACATATGTGGGGTGTGGGGGTGTGGGATGTGGGATGTGTAATGGTTTTTTGATTTTATTTTTTGTTCTGATTCCTGTTGCTGGGATTTGTGAATCTAATTGTGAAGTACCTGTGAGGTGATGATGTGAATGACTGTCGTGTTGCTTTTCTTTGTGAGACGAGTGGTATGTTGGTGTGAAATGCGTGTCCCGCATGTTTGTGGTCTATAATATGGGTGTGGCGTAGAGTTGAAATGGTGTTGATGACAGTAGTAATGCTAGTTATGTTGTTTGTGTGTAACGTATGTACGGTGTAAAGGGTGTGTGTTTTAGTTTTTTGGTGAATGACATGAATGATTGGGGGTTGGTGTTAGGTTTGCCAGGCATATCAGGTTGTTCATCTGTGTTAACTGTGGGAATTTTTTGTTGATGCTAGTAACGTTGGTTGTGTGTAACTTATGTATGGCGTAAAGGGTGTGTGTTTTAGTTTTTTTGGTGCATTACATGAACGATAAGGGGTAGGTGTTATGTTTGTGAGGCGAATCTGGTTTTTTGACTGTGTTAACTATTGTTTTTTGTTGGCAGAGTGCAGAAGGGCAAGTAGTCCGTGGACACGTTCATGTGAACGAAGAAAGGCTGATGATGGTAATGGTTCAAAGGGGAACAACCTGGGTGTGAAAATGCAGGGGCGCATTTTGTTCAAGCAGGCGAAAAGGGTGAGCAATGCGGTTGGATGAAAAGTGGCTGAGGATATAGTAGCACCCCCCCCGCAGCAGACACAAACGCGGATGAACTTTCGTTCGAATGTTGCTGGGATAGTTAAACTTGTGCGTGAGGCAAATTTGAGGGAAGCACACTTGAAACAGTTACGGAAAACACCATTTTGGATTATGATTGAGGCGATACACATGAACAATTTGAACCATAACGAGTTTAGGAAGTGTGATGATCTTATAGCCAAGATTATAAGATCATACAATCAGCGAGATAATGCATTCAACATTGGAGGTGTCAGTGTCAAATTCGGGAGCAGCGACATCAGGTTAATATTTGGTTTGCAGTGCGGGAAACGGCGTTTAGATTTGTCACCCGGACAGCGGCCAGTGTCGGACTTCATTCAACGTAGGTGTCGTGACGCTGCGCGCCTGACGTCGAAGTTGGTTAAAACGTTATTTTTAGAGGCTTTGAATGGAAAAAAGAAACAAGATGAAGAAGACACAGCGAAGTTATTGGGGCTGTACATGTGTGGGAAGCTTTTTTTCTTTAACTCTGGGGAGACAATCAGTTGGGCTTTTGTGCGCTACATGAACGACTTGAGCACCGTTAGGATGTATGATTGGACTGGAGCTATACTGACAACAGTGATGGCGTCAATCAAGGAGTTTCATCGTACCCCAGGGAAGGTGACAGGCTGCGTGGTTGCGTTGCTGGTATGTGTACATCTGGACAGTAGTTAGTTATTGAATATATGCAATTTTTTTGTTTTCATTTTTTTAATCAATAAATGCCTGATTTGTTGGTTTCTGTTTTGTTGTTCATGTAGTATTGGTTTTGTGAACATTCGAACATAGTGGAGCCTCAAACCGATAACATGTTTCCGAGGTTCCTGAAATGGGACATTGGGGCATTAATGAATAAAATTCAAGGGGTGGATTTGGCTGGTACAATTGGTTTTCAGGTAACTTGTTGCGTTTAGTTATGCACTTTATTACTAAAGTTTCTACTAGTGTGAATAAGATGTAACTATTTATTATGATGTGTTTTAATTATTTGCAGGGTAAAGTTGACCGTTTGAGGTCTTTTGATTATGAACGTGAAGTTATGGGCATAGACATTGAGGCGGAGGAAGATGGTTTCGCAGATATCAATGGCGGAGGTGAGGATTGTGACGGTGTGGACGAGCATTTCATGGCAGAGGGGACGAGAAAGAATGAAAGTGATGACCAGGTGGTGCAGGGCCGCAAACTTGATGTGAAACGGTTCACAGAGCATGTGGATCGCAATTCCGGTATTGAAAGGGATAGTAGCCACAAATTAGAAGAGGCGCTAATTGCAGTCGCAGAGCTTGAAATGCAAAACAAAAAGAAAGACAAAATGGTGTCGTCGCTTGAAGAAGAAGTTGTTGGTTTGAAGAGGAAGATGGAGTTGCAAGCTGTTAACATAGTAGGGGGATTTGAGTGTGTGGTGAAGATGAAAAACGATGAGTTGAGTAAGTTGAAAAATGAAAATGACGAATTGCGGAAGAGAGTGTTACTGCTTGAGGACCAATTGGAGGACCGTGATGTGCATGACGTAACGCAACGGTTCCGGGAAGGCGTGGATATTGGAGTAGTGGTGTGGTTAATGTGGGGCACGATGGATGTGATGGTGTTATGTTATGTGATGTGTCACCTTTGCGTATATTACCACAGCATGGACGCAGTGGTGACAAGGGGGGGTTGGACAATGTGGCGGAGTGCAGACCAGGGATGCTGCGTGGTCATTATGGTAGCAGTAGTTATGCTGCTGAAGGTGAAGGCTTGACTAGTGATGTTGAATGTGTTGCAGGATTGGGTTATGTAAATTCATATGTGCGTAAAATCAAGAACAAAGTTAGAAGGGAGCGAAAAATGCCTGAGTTTGATTACCCACTGTTGGTTGGGCGTACTAAGAAGACAGTCGGGAACAATTGTGACGCAGTGGATGACAGCAAACATGACGTGCATAATGCAATTATTGATGTCGAAGCGGTGGTGTTACCTGAGAAAAAATGGTCTGGGTTTGATTTGAATAACCGGTTGGGGGTTTGGAAGATGATGACAATGGATGGGAAGGCCAGAATCACCAAAGCATATGAGCGGCATGGTGATGGGTACGTATTTATTTTGAATGTTATTTGTGTTGTTTGCATTCAATTGTAAATTTGTATAATTTACGTTAGTACTATGTACAGGGCGATCATGTGGGAAGACAATATGAATGACGTTGTGGTTTATTTCAGTGATGTGAAAAGCCTTGTACGACAAAGCTCCATGAGTGGGAATGTGAGTTTTTACATATAGGGGTTTTAATGTTGTATTCCCTATTCATATATTTGTGGTTAATTTCGTTTTAAACGGTGACAGCATGACAATTATGTAGTTAGTACAGCATTATTCTGAAAATTGGTTATGGTGGTTGGTAGGTCGTTGATGCGTACGTGGAGTTGTTGAAGACTGACCAGTTGAGGATGTATGGTGACAATGAGTTGGTGGACAAGTCATATTTTTTCAGTAGTGTGTGCCTGGTGAGTTTGTGGTTTATTTATTTATTTGTTTTTTGTTGTTGGTGTTGGGGTGGTGTAGTAATGTTGGATGACAATGGTGTATTTGCAGGACGTGGTGAAAAGTAATGACGTGCGTTCAATAGGAAATTATATCTGGAAGAATGTGTCTGCAGGGAGCAAGTTTCGTTTCATGCATTTTCCAATGTGTCATCTTGGGCACTGGACGCTTGTAGTGTACGACACTGAAGATGGCAGTTGGAAGCATTATAACCCGATGAGGCAACGTGGGGATAGGACTGATGTGCACCACACCGAAGCTGTTTTGCTGGTAAATAAGTGTTACCAGTATGTTTGTTCTGTGAATTGGTTGTGGTTGTGTAGACGATGGTTGGTGATTTGTTTTTGTGGTGGTTTAATTTTTTAATTTTATTGAATTACAGAAAGAACGTGTGTCAGATGTTATGAAGCAATCGTTACATCAGTTCGGACTGGATGAGCAGAGCATTGAGGCAAATTTCAGGCATCCATTAGAGGCTGTAACTAAGTGTCCACAGCAAAAACCAGATACGTAAGTAACAGTGTTGTTGTAAATGTAAGGGTACTGTAATGATGACAATGCTGTTATGAGTGGCACTGATTACATGTGCTTATTTCATTTGTAGGCTTGATTGTGGGGTGATAGTGTGTGGGATAATGCGACAGTATGTGTATCGTGGCGATGTGGAGCGAACATTGCAAGGTAGTAATTGCAGTGTGTTGCGAGCGAACATGGTTAAGTATTTCATCAATGATCCGACCCGGGGGCTGAAGGATTAGATGTGTTTGGTCTGAAACGGTGACGAGAAACATATCGGACGCAGCATTTTCTGGTTTTTGTATTTGGTTTATGCAACTTGTTTGGTTTTTTGAAACAACATGTTTGTTGGTTTGAACTTGTGGTTTGAAAATTCTGGTTTAGAAAATGTTGGACATATTTTTTGTGGGTATTACGTACTAGTCGTTGTGGATAACATTTTACGCATTTTGAATGGAAAGTATGGTATGATTTGCAGTATGATTTTGGTTGTTTGTTTGGCCTGTTGCTTCATGCGTTTGTAGGTAAGGTTTTGTGATTGTATTTAAAAGTTGTGGGACTGAGTTGTGGGCAGAGATTGTGTGCCGTTGATGTGCACGTAGTAATAGAAGTTGGGTCTCGAAAATTGAAAGATATTGATGTATAGGCATGGTATATATGCGAAAATTACAGTCATGGAAAAGATGGAAAACGACACAACTATAGGCTCCATGATGGTTATGCGGACAAAATTGAAAATGGTCCAAACATGGTTGTTAGCAAGGAATTCTGTGGTGTATTTATTATCTGTGTGTAATGTTTGCGGATGTGGTCACATCATGATAAAATCTTGCAACTACACATTGAATTATGGCGTATGTCCTGAAATTAATAGCACTACAATACGAAGCAGATGTAAAAAATACAGTGACGAGGTAAACAGAATAACGCATCAAAAATAAAATTGTTCATTAAATCTTCACTTTGAATGACGTCACATGGAATTGTGGAACATCCACTTATTTAATAAGAAAACTGTGAAAGTTTATTGTCAAAAATGCGAAGCAGCGAATTATGTGTAGAAGCTAAATTGGTTCCTTGCACGTTTTCCTGTTGTGGTTACCCATGCGTTGACAACGTCCACACCGAATTTGTTGGACTTGTTCCCCTTTGGAAAGCATGCGTTTCTTCTTGGGCCTTCCCGGTGGGCGTTTGACAGCTGGGGGATGTATCACAAAATCTGCTGAGTCAAATTGTGGTTTCTCTACAGTTGGAATGGGGGTTATGTTTTGTGCATATGAATTCTGGTACTCAGCCACATGGTAGTAGGGAATAACTAACTGGTACAGGTCTAGACCACTGTTTCGGATTGCCACGACTGCATGAGCACATGGAAAGTCGTTGATTTGCCACTTGAAACAAGAACATGTACGTTTGCCAACATCGACCATGACGGATGGAAAAGAGTGAACCTCGTACACGTCATCGTTTGATTGGCTTACGAGCCACGATCTATCTTTGTTGTATGCTTTGACCAACCGAGATTCCATTTTGGGACAAATAGCACCTGCCCACGCATTTGCCTTACGTCTCCGTTTTTCCATCTGGCGCATAATTTCCTCGTACACGTCATCGTTTGATTGGCTTACGAGCCACGATCTACCTTTGTTGTACGCTTTGACCAACCGAGCTTTCATTTTGGGACAAATAACACCTGCCCACGCATTTGCCTTACGTCTCCGTTTTGCCATCTGGCGCATAATTTTTCCCCGGATACTATCAACCATTTGAGTTATTGGTAGGTGGCGTGCTTCTCGTATCCATGAGTTAAATGATTCAATGGCGTTGGAACTCATCTCACCGTACCGTGAACCTCTGCTTTTGAAGAAGGATGAAATGTGTTAGTCAAAAAAATAGGCAATGCGCATGCATGATACAGGAAATATGTACTGTAGGAATGTAGTGTGTGTGTGGGAAAGGAAGGAAGTAATTACGTACTGGAAGTAAGCATTCGCCCAGTAATATGGGGGTAAATCTTTTAAGAAAGCAGGCACAACCTTATGTCCACATTTTGTGAACTCTTCCATACTCTGGTTGAATGCAGCCACAGTCGGAGCATACGCACAGGCACGAAATTTAGCCAACATCACAGACCGGTATGAACTGTTCACATAATGTAACTTGTCTTGCAAGTTACGCTGCAAATGTTGTAAGCAAAACGCATGCTTCGCTGTGGGGAATATGATGGGTATCGACTCTAGTAAGCCCGCATGTCGGTCAGAGACAAATGTAAGTGTTCTTTGCCGGTTTACCACGTTTGCGAGGTGTTCCAAAAACCAAGCCCAATTTGTGGTGTTTTCAGAATCAACAATCGCAATGGCCACAGGGAATAAACCTGCATTTTTAATTTGTTTGTCAAATAACCAATCTGTGAAACATAAATTATGAACAATTGTTATGACGATCTCCCCAATGTGGAACAAACAGTGTCCTTCCTAGAAACAATGTAAGTACATTAATATAAATAATTACCACATAGTAATACCTTGGTTGCCATCCTTCGCAGTTGCAGCTAGCAAGTTCCCCTTGAATTTTCCTTTTAGAAAAGTCCCGTCCAAGAAAAGCAATGGGCGACAATGGTTGAACCCGTCGATACATGCTTTGAATGATATGAAATACCGTATAAAACGGTAATTTTGTTCATCATATTCAATGTTGATGTAACTCCCAGGATTATTTTCCATTACTACGCTACTATACCATCGTAGTTGGTCAAATGAAATGGAGTGTGCACCGAACATTTCACCACGAGCTTTTTCTACACCTAACCATGCAACTCGGTAACTAACCTCCAATCCGTAATCTTTTTTCAAGTCATACACAACATCAGTAGGCCTTGTGAGTGGTTTATCACGTACCCGTTCACAAATAACATCGGACACCAGATCGGAACCAGCCCTAGGGTTTTTGGGGGTCCGTACAGCAACACCACAAGTGTGCTCGCTGTTCCACTTACGAAGGTAGAAAAATCCATTGGCATTCAATACACGTGCATGTACCAACCACATGCATCCTCTCGATTCTCTCATCGTACATACAGCTGTGATTCGAACAGAATCGTTCTTCACAAATTTGAACAGAAAGCCACACTCAACCGCATACTTGCGAAGAACATTTCGAAATTCAGATGCTCCACCTTGAAAACTTTGACCAACATGTTGAATCCCATTAGCCCATGGAGCAGACAAAAAAACCTTATCAATGTGAGGGCAGAAATTTTCCAATAAATCTTGTTCGTCATCCATGTCCGAATCATCACACACCCCCGCTGTGTGACACGGGACAGTCTGCAGAGTATGAACCGGGCTGCCAGCATTGTCAGCGTCGCGTGACTCTTGCACAAGAATATCCAAGCAATACAC